CTAATACTCGTGAAACAACGATAAGATGAAAAGCAAATAAGTTGTGAAGCAATTAAAATATTGAGGTGAGACCGCTCAGGTTGCGCCTTTACCTGTAGCTCGCAGATAAATCGTAAGGACCAATTGGTCCGTCTGCCTCTGGTTCTGCTCTAGATGATGTAGCAGGAACAGATGACTTGATACCCAAAAGACGCATGGACTCTTCGATTAGATCGGATGACTCATTTGACATCTCAGCCTAAGGGATGGAACTTTTATGAATGTTTTACATGCTATTTGATCTCTAACAAATTCTCACAGGAAGCAGTGTTTAGCACTTCCTTACGGTTACCTTTGGCAGTGTGAGTGGTGTAGCTGTCGATGTAGCAACATCACCATTTTGGCTTGGCTGCCCCGCCTTCTCTTCTTTCTCTTCACTCTGATCTGCCATTTATTTTACCCTAAGGAGTTAGTTTTCAATCTCTTTTCCAAACAAGTAACGTCTTTACGACGTCAAAAAACCAAACTGTGTATTATTGTATAAGATGCGAATGTGCCGATTTGAAAGGACCAAGAGAGCATTGAAAATTGAAGAAGAACGTAAAATGTGCGAAAACAAAGCGAAGACTTGGCACAAGTGGGAAACACTCAAAAAGCTGTTTGTAGAAATGTAGGCAAACGATCGCATGTGATAGGTGATGTCGCAAGCCAGAAGCGGTATCACGCAGAACAAACGAAGCAACAAGGTATGTACTCATCAAAACACCGGTCGAACGTAAGTAGCCGATTATGGACGAAAAGCTTGGAACAGTGCTCGTGAGAGTGAAGAACGTAAGCGTGGGGGTGTGTTGTATGTCGCTCTTTCGCGAGCACTGTGTAAAGCCGGGACTGAGTGTGAGGAAGCCGGCCGGAGAGGGCAAGACGGAAGAGCATTCCGGCAGGTCCACAGAGCTCGTTCGTTCTCTCTCAGCTCGAGCCGTCCGTCATTTCACCTTGCGGATAGTGCATAAATCCGGAAACATCTGCGAGGAGTTGTATTTGCAAGAGAAGGTTGTACACGTATTGGTGAGGTTATGACGATGAATATCGTACTATGGGACAAAAACTCAACTAGCAACTTATCAATATTTTTCGAACTCAGTACTTCGCTATACAGCGTAAATAGATGCATAAGGAATCTAAGAGATCTTTTACCATTGTTGATGTATTAGGTTGTCACGCAAATTAATGCAGGATTCTGGGTCACAGCCCCTTGAAAAATGGTTGACAAATTGGAATGTTTCGTTCCCGCAAATCCTTTGTTTCGCACGAGTTTTCTGAAGAGTCTTTGTAGTTGATCATGTTGTGCTGGCCTATGGCTAAAAGAGTGGAGCTTTCCACCAGATACTGTTGATGAAAAAAGCTACAATTTTCAGAGAAAGTTGTTACGGATTTTCGGTTCACGTTGAGTAATAATTATAAGCGCGAGCGCTGTGGAAAGATTTTGACAAGGATCCAGTAAAACTTGGCGAGGATATCCTTTGAGAACAAATCGTCATAACTTTGCTTGACAATAACTTTGAAATTTTTGAAAAAACATATTTGTGATAAAAATCGAGAGACGCATTCATTGAGCGTAAAGAAGTCGAAATTTGGAAGTGTGGTAGTAGGAAAAACCAATTTCCTCGTAGAAATTAATTGTCTGATGAAATTTGAAGTTTCAAATACTGAAAAACGGGGTTTTTATTCATTAAGGAACAGTTTGCTTTTCAAGCCAGTGAAGCACACTGCAACTAAATGAGAAAAATCTGGAAGCTTGTATAAATAGCATGCAGTTTGTCTCATAACTTCAACTTATTTTAGTACTAAATTTCGAATTTATGTGAGTTTTCATATGCATGGATAATGAATGTGTCGTTGATATTTCCGATTTTTTACACAAAAGAAAAGTTCATCACGATCCAATCTAGACTACTTACTAGAAGCTTATTTTAGACTCCGACCATTACTAGTTTTCAATTTCGAAAGTCCCAGAATTCTCACTGAAAAGTTTAATTATAATGATTCATCAGTGAACCTGAAATTTCTCAGTATGCTGAGATTTTGAAAACCATCAGTTCATCTTCAGTAAATACTCTTAGAAACTGATCTAGTAAGATGACAGGAGTTTATTTACCGCACAGGCATGCCCTAAAAATGCGTCTTTCAGTGCTGGTTCCAATCCTCTTTTCCAGATTTTTCGAACCATTTCCAAGCAGAGTTATAAGAGCTTGTTTCAACGGATATCCTTGCCAAGTTTTCCTGGAACTTCGCCAGAATCTTCTCCGCAGCGCTCGTGCTTTCAATTATTAGGTTGGAAACTAAGTTTTGCAACCGCCTTCTACCCTCCCTCTCAATGAAAGTGGTGCAATCCAACTTTGATATTATATAGCTTTTAATGCATGCT